TAGGAGATAGTTACGTTTCTAAATTTCAAATATTGTCAAACATTAAGAGTTGTTTACGATCGCATAAACCACTCATTCGTTCTGCTAGGGCAATTAGTCGGCTTCTTAACAAAGCAGTTGAGACCGTCCTTCTGCGTAAAGAACAAATACGGTCACAAAAACTCCTTTTCTATCTAGGACCGTGGGGTGGTAGTGCTATGTGGCCTGTGGTCTATGTGATCAGTAGCCTACTGATTGTCGTGTCAGCCGAGTAACATTGTTTTCTTTCAGCATCTCACGTATTTCATTAGTCTTAAATTATGACTCTTAATCCACATTTAGTAGTTTCGTTATAGAAATTAATTTATTACAGTTTCACTATACAGTCCACTGATATAATTTGCTTATATCATATCTACATCAATAAAATCATAGTTTAGTTGAAAGTGTTCGTTTGTATTATTACCAAAACATTGGCGCATCACGTGCCGCAACAATTATTAGTAGGTATGAAAATAAAGAACATAAGCTAAAGATCAACATGTATATTTTATTTACTTAAATATGTCATATTTATGACGGAAACCTTATCTTAACCTACATTAATTTTGTATTTAAAATAACGGCATTATAGCCCAGTTCCGATTGCTTATACAATTATTAACGTGGAACACATGGGTTATGGTTTAAACGCTTGAATCAATGCAAATGTGAATGTCAATATAACTTTTTTAACGATATTTTTCGTATATATTTCGTGGTTTCGCTGATATACTCACCATCATGTCCTCTTATGCAGTAATTAGTAGCCAAAATGGTGGAATCCGAAACTGTTAAGGATTTATTTCTAGGTTATAGCTAGCTAGAACTGTACCGCTCTGTTTTAGAATATAAGTTCATGGCCAATCCTGAGGGGTTTTAATTAAACATGTAAATTCAGGTCTCCGAAAATGTCTAAAATTACATCTCTATCTGTGTTTTTTACTCCCCTTCATTACGAACATGAAACAGTCTTGTTCCCATCCGTGGTTCTGGACTAAAAGTGAAGTTTAAATTTTGATTGTAAAATAGACACCTAAGTAATCATTATCAAGTAAATTGTTATGGAACATGCTCAGGTTCATTGTTCATAAGCATGTGCAATATTTGATGTAATAGTAAAATTTAAAGGCTTTACTTTCAATTTTTTTAAATTTTATTGTTAAATTTAAAAGTGATTACTAGAACCAATATTTATAATTTATAATAGTATAGATTCCGTTGCACATTGCAACGTGCTTGCAATTATACAGGTCTTATAATAATAATGTTTCATTTTTGAAATCCGAATGGAATTAATAATAAATAAAAGTTTTTTCTCCCACTGGTAGCTACGGGCCAGTTCTGGTTACGATAATTATAAATCTTTGTGTTGTGAGGGAAACGCCACCGAGCGTCCTTACTCGATAATGGGGGCGAAAGGTGCCGAATTACCCACCCGGCCTTGGCGCGGGGATTTCTAAAGCGTCCGTCCGCGCGCACCACCATTTTGAGGGTGTCCGCGTCAAACACGTCCGGGCTAAACACGGAGCCATTTTATTTTGATGCAAAGTTAGTGAGTGCTACAATGTGTTTACATTAGACTAGATGACTGTGGAGAACCGATATTTCAACCCCCCTCCCCCCCCCCCCAAGTAAATATCTGGGCACACCAGCACACCACTGCCGTCTGTTACTTGAATATTTATTGTTATAATGTAATGGCGTCACCATCTTAAATAATTGATAATTTATAATTTTACTTGTGTTTCTTGGCTTGATTGCGTCCTTACAAAATTTAAAATACTTAAAAATTATTAAAATACTTTAAATGTGTGGTGATCGATTTCGATTAGACACTCTAATAATCATATCAGACCCAATAGGCGGATCTGACAGCTGATCGTAGTCGTAGTATCTGTGTTGCCAACCTATTTTTAAGAGTGCATGAAATACACGTGCATAATAAAAGTAAATAAATTCTTGATCAGCATTTTACTTGTTATTAAATTTACGGAAAGTAAATAAAAGAAACGTCTTATAACACCTAAAATAAACTTTTTATGTGTTATAAGACTTTTTTATTTACTTTCCATAATAAAAGTACGCAGTTTTTGTGTTGTTTAGTTGGAAAATTGGCGTGTTGCAAAAAAGAGTACGGGAAAGTAAGTAAATGCAGCCTCATAGCTTCTAAGAGAGGTTATTTTTTCGTTTATTGATTCCTTGACGTATTACAATAATTTATAATCAGTATGGTGCACGGTAAAATTTAACTAAAAAACAGTAGTGCGTAGTGAAATCCTACTTGATTAACCAGGGGGCAAACAACCGTTTTCCGGATTAATTTCATGCGTGGAAAGCCTATTAAAACAGTGTGTACCCAGACAGCACACTTTATCCCAGGGACATCCCATAGTAGTCCCATATGTCCTGAGAATGTCTTGGGATATGTGCGCTATCCTCAGGATATCCCGCAAAATCCCGGGACGAGTACGAAATCCACAGGATATCCTACAATATACCATAATGTCCCGGGATTTGTAAGTTAACCTCAGGATATCCTGTAAAGTCCCGGGATATGTACGAATGCCATAGGATATCCCAGAATGTCCCATGACATCCCGGGACATGTACAAAATCCACTGGATATCCTGTAATGTACCGTAATGTCCCGGGAACAAACTGAAGAAAAAAAATACTACCACTGATGAAATGTACAGTATATCTAAATTGAAATGTTCAACAAGGCCAATATATAATAATTTGTTTTTTTCACTGGTGCTTTCAGAAACTTGGTTTCCATCTTCAGGCTGTGTTTACACTAGTACAAAAAGTAAATATTTACTTAATAAATTAATTTTAAACAAAGTTAAAACAGATGATTTAAAGGATATTGGAAAAATAAAAAATAATATTAGAAAAATTAATCTTTTGAATTTTGGATATGTTACAGTGTTGTTCTTGATGTAATTATTTTCAGTAATTCCGAATTTATAATTGGGCCGTCTTCATTATTTAACAAATAATTTTGGTCTGTTTTTTTTTCTAAAAATAAGATTCCTACGCATTAAGATGTTGAGGTTTTATAATTTATTTTAAAAGTTTAAGGTTTCCCAGATTGAAAATATGTCTTGTTAATACTATGGCTAGCAAGGGTTGACTTTACTTTACTGACATATTACTACCACTGAGTTCAGGAAAACTAGAGTTCTATCATAGTTGTGTGAAATGTGAATTTAATTATAACTTTAAATTAATAAAACAACAAAAAACTAATTTTAATCATATAACAATCAATTATTACAGTGCTAATCTAATGGTGATTAAATAATCTATATTCAAATACCAGTATCCTCTCCAACTACCAGAAAAACAATTCAACTACTTGAGGTCTAAACAGATTAACAGAACCATATATAGCCTATACTGTAGTATCAAAAATATTTTAAGTATTGCGACCATTGCAACTGTCGGCTACTCTTTAACCACTTGAAAACACCCATAATCAACAAGCGCAGATAGCTCAGGAGGTAAGGTAAGAGGCTCACAAGGCGAAGGTACCAGGTTCAAAACCCGTCTGGGCCAAAAACTTTTTTCTCGTTTTTTTCTTCAAAATTTGTGTTTATTAACTATTTAATCAATTTACTAAACTTATAATTAAGCTTTTCATACTAAATCTATATTATTTTGTGTTTTTTATGTTCAGGCCCAGACCACACTTTATCCCAGGGACATCCCATAGTAGTCCCATATGTCCTGAGAATGTCCTGAGGACTACCCTGGGATGACCTCGGATGTCCCATGGATATGCGTGTGAGCTTATCCGTAGGACATCCCCCGGGCGGGGACATTAGGCATTCCTGTGGATATCCTGTGATATCCCAAGTTGACCATAGGACCACTATGGGATATCTTGCATATCCTGTCGCAATATCCGTGGGATGTCCTGAGGAGAAAGTGTGCTGTCTGGGTAGTGTGCCAAAAAATAGTATCTTTGTATTAATCCATCGCCTACGCCCACACCTAATCTATCCTTCGACAAAAAAGTACAGAAAAGAAGTATGAAAACAACAATAACAATATTCTCTATACCATGTATGAAGCTATTCCTATAGTTGGTTATCAATAGTTCATAAAGAATTACACAGTTACCATTTATAATCTAAATAGCATGATAAGAGGAACACTGTTGAAAAGTGCTGATTTATACGTTTTATTTTGATCAAGTTTGAGTTTAATGCTCTCCTCTAGATATATTGGTGTTCTGTGAACGATAATAGATGAAGTTGTGTTAAGAATGATTTGAAGTTAAAATCTGTTGTTTGGTATACATAATCGGATTAAGGTATGATTTACATCGCCCATGTTGATTCTTTCTTTACTATCAAGTAATAGGTAGCTACTTTAGGGCTTTAAAAATGATCTACGTGTCTGAGACGTTTTCCACATATGTCCATTAGCGCAATAACTCGAGTAAAAATCAACCAATTTGGATTAAATTTCCTAAAAACATGTATAATTACATCTATTCAAAAGACTTCTTAAATATAATGTTACTATGATGGGAACAGGCATAGCCTCCTCTAATAAGACCGCGGCGTTGGTGTGTGACAAGGTTGCACCGGCATCTGTATTTCCACGGCAATAATTAACACTACACGTAATAACATAAGTGTAAACATAAAAATTGCACATACGCTCCGTTATAAATAAGTGCAACCACTGTTTTGGTTTGCCAGGAAAGTGGTGTTGTAATGTTTGTCTCTCCGCGGTCTTGTAATAAGAGGAGGCTATGAAACAGGGTTTTATGAAGGGTTTACCAATACTGTACAAGGGAAATAAAATGACAGCTTATCTTTATAAATAAAATCTATGATTATTTCTCTATTATCTTGTTGAAAATATTTGTTATATTTTAGCTTTTACCAACTGCAAAGATGCCACTGTTGATGGTCCCCCGTTGTGAGTGGAACGCTCTACCACCTTGTGGAGATGTGACGTCAATGCAGTACCCTTTGCACGCAGTGTTCATAACCAGTACAGAGACAGAACCGTGCAACAGCCAGGAAGAGTGTGCAAGAGTTGTACAGAACCTGCAGACGACACATCAGTACTACAAGTTACAGGACTTGCCATACAGGTCTAATCATGTTATTATTTCGTCTAGCTTTGTTTATTATTTTCTTCTTGGTTATTTCGTAATCGGACAGCAGCAAAACCTAAAAAATGAGTATACCTAGTTATGTTAAGTATCCTAGGATTGTATGTAGCACAGATCCACAGATGATAAAGTGTGACAGTTTGAATTGTTGTTTTTTATGTTTTTAATAAAATGTATACTCATTACAAGTTATTATTAAGCTATTACTAACGTTACGCTTCTAAATATTTGGCACCCTTTGGCCGAGACAGTCCTTGTACAAAGAGGAGCCCGGGAGCCTGCGTAACTGCTGAGGCACTGAAAGTTTACAAAGTGAAAGTGTGAAAGTGTGAAAGTGTACTGTACATGTTTCAGCTTCCTAATCGGAGGAGATGGCCGAGTCTATGAGGGGAGGGGATGGGCCCATTCCATCTCTCCGCCATTTGAAGTCCACCCTGAGTCTCAATGGAAGAGCATTATTATTGCTAAAATCGGTCCTCGTTCAGGTATAAAAAGTTTTGTCCTCTCTTTAATTTACTGAATACGTACACATTAAGAGGTATAATGTAAAATGGTAATGGTAATGTAGATGGTAGTCTGCAAAATTGTGAGCTTGAGGGCTTAACTTGAAATGAGTAAAACTTTGGCTTGATTGCTTAATAAGTGAATTACATTATGCTCGACTTACCTATCTATAGCTATATTAGAGAAGACTATCTGATTTTCGCCATAAACAATGTGGTTTAGTTGCAGCACTCTGAATTAGTCAATAGGGGGCACCAACCGGTTGGTAGGCTAAACATAGCTGTTTCAGACCCCTCAGCTGATTTTACTAAATCTAAATCAGCTGTCTTTTCGTGACAGCAGACTGTAAAATTGACCTATAATATTTACTCTCTAGATACAGTTACATACCTACACATTTAATCTGTAATGGTGGTGTATGTAGAAAAAATGCAAGGGTTAAGAGAAGATAAACTCAATAACAAGTGGTTTACAAAAACACAAAGAGTTTAAAATACATAATTTTAAACATACACTTCAAACTTAATGTTCATGTTATTATTTTCTTGTAAAAAACATTATCTGTTGTCAGTGGCTGACCCCTGCAAGTTCATGGAGAGGGCGGTTGGTAGCCTGATAGACAATGCAATCCGAGAGAGACGCATCGACTACGACACCAACTACTATTTTCAAGAAAACGACGAGGCGATGAAAAACTTCCCGTTTCACAGATTTAAACAGATAAACTTAAATAACGTTAAGAAAGTTGATGTTAAAAAACTGCTTTAGCTTGTGTACACTTATGTTTTTTAAGAGTAAGAGTATAACAAAGAAGACTCCCAATATTCCTAACTTGGTTCCGGTATTCAGTTCAGTTGGAATTGACAAATATTTTGAGAGGAAAAACTTAAATAGATAATGTCATCAAGTATTTCTAAAATTACAGTATTTCTAAGTAAGTAAACTAAAATTTAGAGAGTAAATTTTTGTTTAGAATCCTTGAAATGGGGGTTCTGTTAATTGAATAATCATTATTAACTTTTGCAAACTGATTTCGGATATGCATAGCTAAAATGCGTGTTCCTTGCAACAACCCGATGTCTTCGCTACCACACGGGAACGTCAAGATATTGCCGCGATAACGACGATGATGATATCTTCACCACCGCGGAAGGATGTCAAGATATTGCCACAAGCACGAGAGACGATGATGATATTTTTGCGACCATGGAGTAGTTTCAAGATATTAACGCGATCATGGGAGGGGGATGATGTCTTTTCAACCGTGGGGGGATGTCAAGATGTTGCCGCGATCACGTGAGGCGGTGATTATGGTTTCGCAGCCGAGGAAGAATGTCAAGTATACCGAGATTACAGGAGCTGATTATGAAGCCTTCGCGACCGCGGGAATAAGTAAAGATTTCCGAAATCACGGGAGGCGGTGATGATGCGAGTTTGCAGCTGTAAAGGCATGACAAGTTTGATGAGATCTCAGGAGGCGGTGGTGATATCTTTGCGACCGCTGAGTGAAGGCAGGTGTTCTTGGCAGGCTTGGCACTCTCGGGAGAATGGTTAATGCCATGATCTCAGGTGGAGGAGATGATGATGATAACTTCGAGAAAGTTTGTGACCGACCATAATACCTAAGATTGCTAAGATCACAGGAGTGAATGAATGAGCAGCCACGGGGGAATGCAAGACATTGTCGCGATCAAGGATTATTGTCAAGACGACTATATTATGGAGGCAGACCGAAACCGGCATTTTTTGAGAGGGTGCCGGCAGAAAAGTAGTTATATAGGCCTCGCTAATTCAAACCTCGATTATTCAAAAACCTCCATAATTAGAAATGTTTATCCGTTCGCAAAAAAAAATAACCTCAAAAAAAATAATAATATACCGACAATTCAAAGTGATTTTTACGCTTAATGCAGCCTCTACAATTCAAATTTGCCCATACTCGAGCCTCTACAATTCAAATTTTGTTGCCGTAATTCGGAGTGTTACCTCCAAATTCAAAGTCAACCTCTGCAATTCGAAATGCATTACCGTAGCCTCTGTAATTCGAATTCAGGATAAAAATACACCTGTTGAAACATGATCTGACGCGTTACTGATGTTCCCACAATGTGTTCATTAATCTCTGTTCTCTCAAACTCTCTACACTTAAACCTGGGACCTCCATAATTTGATTTTTTTATTCTGACCTCTTTAATTCAAACTCTCTTTATTTCAAACTTCCTATAGGTTAACATATATTGTCTTTCCTCTGAAATTCAAACTAGCGAGGTTCTACCGTATTTTTCATACCCGTAGCGGCTACCTGGTCTTGCATTTGTTCGTTTGTAGGTATTTAATTTTTCTGGTTGGGCGAAGAGAAAGTTTTTAATTCTCAATAATGAGCAAGGTTATTTTATCATATCAAAATTACCCAACCAACAATCGGGTAACTATTTCATTGTCCTCATAATTTTTGTATTTTTGTAAAACAGCAAATGTCCCTAATAAACATTCTGTATTAACAGTTACATGGTTTTTATTTAAATATATCTACGACTGTTTTTTTTAACTAGCCGTTTCATTTCAGTTTTAGAATTGAAATTGTTTATTTACTTGGTTTATTAACAACATTCTTGCTTTAGTTTACAACACGTGTAACGGACCAATGAGGTTCAAGGATTGAGAGAAAATAAGTAAAATTGTAATACTTCGAACGTCAATTTGTCAGCTCTAAGACCAATTTAATTGATTAAACAATGAGTGAGTGGTTGGGACAATAAGTCGTTGCATTACAATCAGGGGCAATCATCGATCTCTAATAATAGAGATCGATGGTGGCAATGAAAGGTTATAAACAAAAACAAACCTCTCTTGGAAGTTATGAGTAATGGTTTTAGAGGATTTTTTAAATTTAAAAAGCCCACCTGTGCCGGAAAAAGGTTCTTACGTTTTCTTCCTAATAATTTAAAAACAAGCCAATTTTGTATGTTTTTTTCATAAGACTGTTACTCATTTATGTGTGTATTATTGTAATTGGAGTTATATGTTGGAAATAAATAAGTAATATTAAATGCTGTGTTTCCAATGCTCTGCCCCTAAAGCAAATTATAGTGAAAGGCCATCATTGATTTCTCCTGCCATCGAACCATTGAATACAAACCTTTAATAATAAGGTTTGTATTCATTAATCTAACTCGGTAAAAAACCATATGAAATAATTTTAAAAACTGTGAGTAACTTGTTTGTTATTTCTAACCTAAGTTTAGGTCAATAGCACCAAATATTTATTCTAAGCGTGTGTGTCCATTTCGGTTAAAATCAGTGCTAAATTAATTACCGGTAAGTTTTCTTTCATAAGCATGAATAAATATTAATTTATTAATCTTTGAGCACTATATGAAACAAAATGTTATTTCTTTGTAATATACAAAACAGGATGATTAAAATTCATTTTCCTCTTTTCAATATACATTTAATTGGAAACAGTAACAAAATATCGTCGATGATATAAATCAAGAAAATTTTGTTTACTCAATAATAGTTCTAAAATGATTTGGGTTTGCTCTATTCCAACTATTTTGACTTGTGTACTGATTAAGTGTTGGGTACTTCTTAGGTCCTGGGTTGTAGCTAGGCCTTGGATGGTTAGGCCTTGGAAACTGGTTAGGGTTCGGGTATTCATTAGGTCCTGGATTGTAGCTAGGCCTTGGATACCGGTTAGGTTTTTGGTATACATGAGGTCCTGGATTGTAGCTAGTCCTTGGATAGTCAGAGTCAGGCCTTGGATATTCGTTAGGTTTTGCTTGTTCATTAAGTTTTGTAAATTCTTTAGGATTTGGGTAGTCATTAGGTTTTGGATACAGGCTAGGTTCTACTGGCTCGTTTACTCCTCGGTAGTAGCTGGGCATTGGGTACTGGTTAGATCTCTCAATATCTGTTCTGCTCTCTCTGTATCCAACAGATGTTCTGTATGGTGTTCGGCTTTGGAGCGGCTGGCCGTATGTGGTCTGTCCGGATGTATGTGGGTAGTATCGTCGTCGACTCTGAGCTTGCAGACGGTTCTGGCGCAGACGTTCATATCTCAAATTATTTTTGATCCAGTTTTCTGCTCTGAGGAAACATCGCTTCCCAAAGTCAGAGTCCTAGGTATACGAAACTTGTAAGTTTTCTTACTCATCAACAAATTTTGTTTTGATTAAATTGAGAAAATAACAGAATATTCTATATTTTGAGGATAAAGATTAATTATTGACATTAAGAGTTTAAATAACGAATAAACGTCAGCACTTTATGTATGAAAACAGTTTTATAGGGCATTTTTTTGCGTAACAACATCACACTAGTTTATAGTTTGTGAAAAATGTTATCAGCAAAGGCAACTGAGACCTAATGAAAAGATTTAATTGAATATTTAAAATTGATCTGTGCAACAATATGTGTATTGAAATAGTCATTTTTACTACAGAAATCATCACAGGAAGATTCAAATAAACGTTAGCAAGGGAGCAGATCAAGTATGTAATTAAATAAGTTCGAGAGATTTTTCATCTATATTGTGTTCTAAATGGAGATGGCTTCGTGCCTTGAACTTATCGAAGCGCATGAGCCAATGACGCCAGTAGATCTGACAGTGCTTCGGAGCCAATAAGAAAACATCACAGGGGTCTCCATTTGCGTACGCTACTGCTACTAGACCATGGTTCACCTGAAAACAACATGAGAGAGATAACAGACAATCCTTATACGAGGGTCATTTTGTGAGTAAGGGCCGTTTTTTTACGTTTTGCTCCGTAGTTTACCTGCACCATATCAAGACTCCTCACTGCTTACTGACACAATTTGTCAACAGAATGCCGAATGCCACAATGTTCAGCTCTGTAGCTGACGTTTGCACTTCACTGTGTGTTTAAACTGTTTTAATGATTGAATCTCCCGCCGTGTGCTAGAGAAGGTTTAGTACGTTTTTAGATTACAAGAAGCATATCTGCTGATGCTGACATTCTTCGCCAGATGACCGAAGTTTTTGACCCTAATGCCATTATAGAGGGAAGTGCAGGAATGGGCTAGGGAGTTTTAAATTTGCCGTGGAAATGTTCATTTTGGAAGGAAATTGTGTTTTGGTTGGCTCCCAGGCTTCTCACAAGAAGCTCACAAAGGGAAAAAGGTTTTCACGGCAATTTTTACACTCCTTACCCGTTTCCAAAATCTAGCCTCACTCATTGCATTAGGTCAGATACCCTTCAGTCGTAATGACCTTATCTTGCACGCAGCGGTACAAATTCAATAATGACGCATATTTTTCAGCTACAGAAGTGTTATTCTGTTCACAAAAGATACCAGGCGACGGGGGCCTCGTTACCGGGGCTATAGCCCCGACTCGTTACAGCGAATAACACGTAAACTACGGAGCTATTAGCTAAAACGGTCCTTTACAAAAACTGCCCTCGTACATTAAACTGTTGGTTTGAATGCATAATCAAGTACCATAAAATCTATTTTCAGCAGCATCCAAGAAAAGATTTTAATGCACAATGAAAGAAAACTAATAGCCTTGCTGAAAATCTACTATATTTGGTAGTCTATTTGGTATAATGATTATACCAATTTACTTTGTGATTCATGACTCATAGTAGGACACCCCACACCGAAGCTACATGTTGCAACTAGGTTACTAACAAAAAAGTACTTACTCCCCATTTGTAGTTGGGATCGTGGTTTAGAGCCCCTATGTAAGCTGTTATCTGGACGGGTGCGTCATATGTATCTTTGAGATCTCTTTTAGGTTTGTCAGATAGCTTCCAGTCAATCATTACAGGAATGTTTCTGAAACAATTCACACAATTTTTAGCCAATTAAAACATACCAGGGGTCGCCCCGTGGTCGAAAACTCGACCAAAATGTGTATTGTGAAGATTTCTCAATTTTCACCCCATGCTGTAAATAAATCATTTATTGATTGGAATGTCTTCCATTTGTAATTAAATTAGCCATTAAAGAAAAAATAGTATTTCATTCTACATTTAAGTGCGTGTGTATCTCTTTCAGGCTTACATTTTTAAGTACATGTAATCCATACTTGTGTCAATATGATACAAAGCTGAAACTGGGTATTTTTAACCTCCCATATAGTTTGAACGAATCCTTGTATGGCCTTTCAATGGAGCTAGTTTTCCATATCAGAGAAAATTCACATCCCATCAAAAGACCTTTCCTTTTCTTCTAGATAGGAGGTGGACTTACAGTTTCAGGTGGGCCAAAAAATGGGTCATGCCCGGCAGAGCTAAAATGTATTGAACTATACGAACAATATATTATATTAAAAAAATTACCATTACCTGAACATAGCGATGCAATCTGCAACACCTCTGTAACCCAATTTGGGATGAGCGATTGTACTCTCCACAGCCATTGGGTTGGAAATGTGTTCCAGCATCCATGATAAACTCTTAAGACTGTTCTGAGTGACTTCACTGCAGTTCTCTGTGGTCTTTCCTAGAACTGCGTTGCGGACTGCCATGTGAAACTCAGTCCCTCTCACCTTCAGGGCTGTCATGGACAAAACTAACAGTTAATTAACAGTTAAAAACAGTTGAAAATGTTGAATGGATTTCAATTGCATTCAAAAAGAAATAGTAAATTAATTTGTAAACTGTTGTTTTTATAATTGTATACTCATTTTTCATTAAATAAAAAGAGCTATAACACTTGAATTAATTAACAATATTTAAGTAAAATAATACAAATTGTTACAGCCAAGGTTATTCTGGAACTTGCTCAAACTTTGTACAGGTTTATTACAAACAAACTATATTGTAATCAGTTCCATTAGTGTTGAATTAGAATAAATTATAAAAAATCTGATTTAAATGTAGAAAAAATAAGTCTTACAAAACTGTGTGTAACAATCCGTACAATCCGTAGTGTAACACTGCCATAATTTAACAACAATTGATTTAATTCTTTCTGTAGTCTAGTAGTTTTTTTAGATAGTTATATAGGACAGACACACAATTTACAAACCCAATACAAAAATTGAATAATTTTATTTTACCTTCACTGTGATTGTAGAATCCATCCTCGCCCAAATCGTCAATCATTTTCTGCCGCCAGTTTCCTAAAATTTGTTTTGTTTTGTCTGATATTGTCTCTTCAATTATTTTACTAACTGATGGAAATTTTATGTAGTTCTTTATAACTGGGTCTGTAAATGAGTAGCTCAACACCTTTTCAATAGCTGAGTCTTGAGCGTAGAGATCAAGTTTTTCCGTGTTTTCCAGTGGGTAGTTGGTTTCTGTGATTGGTATCGTAGGTTTGAAGATAAACTGATCAGCTGACAGGACCATTTTGATGTCATGAACTGGTGATGAAGGTAGAGAAGGTTTTTGAGAAACTACAGTGGTTTTAGTTTCTCTAAGTTTTAAAGATGAAGTTTTCTGGACAGATTTTTTTTTAGTTGGCCTATTTTTGGTTTTACTATTTGTTTTAGAGGAAAGGTTTTTAGACGCTTTTAATCTTTTTGTAGATTTTCTTTTGCCTTTAGAATTGTTTAAACTTGTAGTCCTAGTTGATTTGCCTTGTTTTGGAGTGCTGGACGATTTTTTAATTCGCTTCACACTTTGTTTCCGGTTAGACACTGAGGGGTTTCTTGTGGAATTAATATTATGATTTTTTATGCTGTATACATCTGTGACAGGTACCACAGCTTTGATTGGATATAAAACAAAGTCACGAATTTTGAAAATGTTGCATTTTGAAACTAACGATTTTTTTATTGTCCTTCTTTTAGTCCTTTGCTGTTGAACTGGTGTTTGCCTCACAAATTTAGCTGGTGAATCTATAGAACCATTTGTCACAGGTTTTTTGTTTCCTTTTCTCGTTCCAGTAGATTCACTCAATGCCTGTGAAATTATAATAATTATTGATATGAATTATGATTATACCTAATAATGCATATGGGGTAGTGTAACTTACATTGATTATATATTTACCCTCTTGTTGAGATATAATCAATGGTGGTACTTAATTATTTTGATTTTTTAATTTCAAACAAGTTACATAAATTTAACTCAGTCAATGCAATGGTTTATTTCATGTTTCATGTCATACAACACAGCTTTAACTGACTTTATGGTAGAGATCCTTTTACATAATCTAAAAGTAAATTATCTAAGGGTACTTTCATGTTGATTAGGCTAAGATCGATTGTGTCAACGGATATTCTCATTATAGTTTACTATGCCTACCTTCATAGCTATATATCATATGGAATTATTTTATGGGGTAATGACACCAATGTTAAAGAATTGTTAATTGAACAAAAGCGTGCTATTAAAATCACAGCAAATGTGGACATGAGGACTCACAGTAAGCCATTGTTTAGAAAATTCAATATACTCACTGTATTTGCAAGGTATATTTTAGAATGTCTGTTGTTTATTAAAAGGAATTTACATACTATACCTACAAATAAAAATGTTCATAACTATTTCACTAGAAACTGTAACTCACTTAGAATTTCCCAGTGTAATTTAAAAATTACTTTGAATTGTTTCGTTGAAATGGGGAAAAAGCTGTATAATTCTCCACTCTCTCATTAAAATTTTTTAGAATTTAACTGTTTTAAGAGGAACGTTAAGCACCTTTTGATTAGTATTAGTCCATATGACATAAATGAGTTTTTCCTTAATGTTAATGGCCATGTATAACTAAAAATTTCTGTGATTATCTGTGGACTATTTTATAGTTATATTTATTATACTGTAACTAGTTCACACTGCTATGCATTGTAAAATGTTCTGGCAATAAAGATTTGATTTGATATTCAATTGTACGCCCGAAAATACCAATTAGTCAGCAAAGCAGCATTCTGTTAATAGTATATTATATTACGTTACTAGTCCTGAAAATAAGTGTTTACCGGACGAGTGTGGTCGTTCCTGTGCGAGACGAAGTCGAGTACGGGATTACCATACGAGACCTGTTATGAATTACTGTTTTTAGTAATCAGCTGAAGTATTTATTTACTTGTTGTTTGTATTAGAGATTTGTTTACCTTGACAACTATGTAACAATTTAAGTTTATTAAAGCCTTATTTTCTAAAAAGGTTCAGTTATTCACAACAAATTTAATAAACTTAAATTTATTATGATACCGGTAATTAAATAATCAAAATCAAAATGGAAAAACTTTTAAAACCAGACAGGTTTGATATTAATCCTGAAAATCCTTCTGCAAGTAGAGCATTCAAACACTGGTTCAGGACACTTGAAAATTTCATATCTGACTCAGCAGTTCCTGAAGAGAGGAAACTTAAGTTAACTTAAGTTGATTAATTTTCTTTCTTACAATGTCTACGAGTATATTTCTGAATGTTCCACGTTTAAGTCAGCAGTTGAAATTTTGCAAACTATTTATAATCCTAAGAAGAATTAAATTTATGCTCGACACATGCTAGCAAACCGCAAGCAGAAGAAAGAAGAAAACATAGACAAGTATCTACAAGAACTTAAACTTCTAAGTAAGGATTGCAATTTTCGTGCCATAGATGGAAATACTTATCGAGATGAAGCCGTTAGAGATGCCTTTATAAGTGGAATTATGAACCCCCATATTCGACAAAGACTACTAGAAAAACCGTCCTTGACATTAAAAGAAGCTGAGGACATTTCACGTTCACTTGAGTCTGCACAGAAGAGCTGTGAAGCATATGGATCTTCAAACCAAATTGAAGTCACATATTGCAACACTTCATCAACACTACCAGATCAACTGGATGAAAATATAGATCCTGAAGAAACTCCTACTTCAGCTTCTGTAGCAAAAAACTATAAACAGAAGTGTTTCTACTGCGGTGGCCGGCGTCATTTTACTCGAAACGACTGTCCTGCCAAAGATGCTACTTGCTCTGGTTGTAAGAAAAGGGGACATTTTGTGAAGGTATGCAGGTTGATGAAAACTCAAGGTAAGACCTTTAATGCCTCTTCTTTGGTAGTAACCACGCTTTCATGTGCAGCTGCCTCCAATGGACTGTCAAAAGCAGTTGTGCGGGGTTATGCAAATAAAATACCTGTTGAAGTTTTGGTTGATACTGGAGGTACCGATAGTTTTATAAACCGAGCTGTGGTAATTGAAAATGGTTTTCATGTAATTCCAGAACGGAAACAGGTATCTATGGCTTCCACAAACCTAAAGTCACCCATCAAAGGTTATGATAATGTGAACTTAGAGTTCTCTGTCCATAACTATGAGAGAGTACAGCTGTTTGTTATTGACAATCTGTGCACTGACATATTGGTTGGTCATGATATAATGAAACTGCATTCTTCAGTAAAACCTAGATTTTGGGGGAGATAAGTTACCTCTGTCCATTTGTAATGTTGCCTGTGCTTCTGTGGAACCACCATGCCTTTTTCATAATCTATCACCTGACTGCAAGCCCATTGCAACTAAGTCTCGTAGGTATTCTAATGATGATGAAAAGTTCATCAACTCTGAAGTGCAAAAACTTCTTCAAAGTGGTATAATTGAAGAAAGTTCATCTCCCTGGCGTGCACAAGTGCTTGTTACCAAAAGCTCATCTCATAAAAAGCGATTAGTAATAGATTATAGTCAAACTATAAATAAGGTTACCCTATTAGATGCCTACCCCTTGACTAATATTGAAAACATAGCTAGTAAAATAGCAGAAAATAAAGTATTCAGTACTATAGATTTAAAGGAGCCTTACCATCAAATACCAATATCGGAACATGAAAAATGCTTCACAGCATTTGAGGCAGCAGGAAAACTTTATCAGTTCTGTAGGGTTCCATTTGGTGTGACAAATGGTGTGTCTGCTTTTCAGCGCACGATTGATAAGATTATTTCCACTGAAGAACTAGAAGGGGTGTGGGCTTTCATTGATGACATAACCGTAGCCGGCAAAACTCAGTCAGAACATGATGAATGGCTGAATAAATTCTTAAAGGTAGCTAAGAAATATAATATTTACTCTAAACAATGAGAAGAGCAAATTTTCTCAAGACAATATCAATCCTAGGATATCAAATTCGCTACCAGTCTATGCAAGCAGATCCAGAGCGTCTGAAACCCTTGTTAGATTTGCGATTGCCAGTTAATGCATCTCAATTAAAACGTGCATTAGGAATATTTTCTCACTACTCAAAGTGGGTTCCCAAGTTCTCAAACAAGATTCGGCCTCTGATTGATTGCAAATCTTTTCCTATATTGCCCTCATCTTTGCCAGCTTTGGCTTTTCAGGAAATTAAACAAGACACACATAGGAAAATCAATACTTACTGTGATTGATGATCTTTCTCCATTAGTTGTGGAAACAGATGCATCTGACTTTGCTATCGCTGCCACCTTAAGTAAAAAGGGTAGACCTGTCGCTTTCTTTTCAAAAACATTGACCGATTGTGAAAAACGTCATTCCTCTATTAAGAAGGAAGCCCTAGCCATAGTCGAATCTCTAAAGAAGTGGAGACATTTCCTCATTGGGCGACATTTTCTATTAATTACCGATCAACAGGCTTTGTCGTTTTTGTTCAACAGTCGGCACAAACATAAACATAAATTGTGATGACAAGCTTTTTGCACTTCACCAGTCACTCTGCCACCCTGGTATCACTAGGATGTACCACTGGGTAAAAAGTAAAAACCTCCCTTACTCAGTTGAGGATGTTAAAACAATGACAAACAAATGCCCAATGTGTGCAGAGATTAAACCTCGTTTCTACAAAACTACAAATGCTCACCTTATCAAGGCCACAAAACCTTTTGAGCGACTAAATGTAGATTTTAAGGGTCCTTTGCCATCTTGCACACGTAATCGATATCTATTGACTATAATCGATGAATATTCACGCTTCCCTTTCGCATATCCCTGCAGAGATATGTCCTCAAGCACAGTAGTTCGCTGTTTAGAAAATCTATTTTCAATATTTGGAATGCCAAACTACATTCATTCAGACAGAGGGAGGCTGCACTTTAGTTTACGTCCTACATTTACTCACATACTGCAGTTTGGTTAAGGTTAGGTTTAGTTTAGAACAGTTTCATTTTATAATCAGCTGGTAGTTAATGTATAATATGTAGGACGTAAACTAAAGTGCAACCCAGAGGGATCTTTTCTTTCAAAAGAACTCAGAGACTACGGTAGGCCTACCTTCATGAAAGAGGAATAGCCACCAGTCAAACGACTCCATATAATCCGGCAGGGAATGGCCAAGTTGAAAAGTTCAATGGAACATTGTGGAAAGCAATCTTGTTAGCTCTGAAGTCCAGGTCACTAAAGGTAGAACAATGGGAAGTTGTACTCAATGATGCATTGCACTCCATAAGATCTCTTATGTGCACTTCGACTAACAGTACGCCACATGAAAGGTTTATCATTCATCCTCGATCCCTCAATGGCACCTCACTGCCAGCTTGGCTCATGAAACCAGGACCGATATTCTTAAAAAGAAATGTTCGGCCATCAAAATTTGATCCTTTAGTTGAGGAAGTAGAGCTGATGGATGCTAACCCTCATTATGCCTTGGTTAAACACAATGATGGAAGAAAGTCAACTGTATCCCTCAAGCACCTTTCTCCAAGGGGGGATGTAAGTCTACTAGAAGACCAAGTCCTTCCAACGCTAAAAGAAAATCCTCAACTGGTGACAGATGAATCACAACCACATGTCATTCCAGAGCCGAGCATTAATCCAGATCCAAATGTCAATCCATAATTTGATATCCAAGACCATGAGTATCAACCAAATGATGATTATCAACCGAACTTCATTCCATTCCTGAACAAGACTCTGAAGAAAACCAACCTCTAGAAAGGCCGAAAAGATCAAGAAAACAACCAAGTTACCTCGCTGATTACATTGTTTAAATTTTGAGGGGGAGAATGTTATGAATTACTGTTTTTAGTAATCAGCTGAAGTATTTATTTACTTGTTGTTTGTATTAGAGATTTGTTTACCTTGACAACTATGTAACAATTTAAGTTTATTAAAGCCTTATTTTCTAAAAAGGTTGTTATTTACAACAAGACCGGTACACACATTTTGGACGAGTTACGTACGATAGTTTACGCCATACTAATAAATCTGTACAAATCCTTATACATATTTCCACCAACTAAAGGACTAAAAATCACTAGTCATAACCTCTAAGGGAGGTTATGTTTTTGTTTATAACGATTCATTGCCACCTAAATACAGTATAATCAGCTGATTGGTGTCCGGTAAAACTCATTACAGTACAGTACAGTAGGAGTAGTAGTAGTACGCAATGAAACCCCATTTGAATAAGCTGGCGGCAAAGGCGGCAAACAGCTTTTTTCTGGACTAAATCCTTGCATGGGAAGTTCGTCAAAATAATGTAGTGTGGCGTAATATCATAGATTGTTGTTGCTTAGTCTATGGTAATATCCTCTGTTTTGGATTGGATTGGAATGAACGAGCTGCCGGTGAACTGAACTTGTTCGAAACCAAAACACATTTTTTTAAGTTTAAGGTTATGTTTGCTTGTTGACTGAGTATTTATTTAATTTGACTGCACCGCACACAGCACATGCCTAACCTAAATCTCTAATCTCATGTTGTGAGTTGTGACAACAACTAATTTATTTCTTACTAGCTCAACGAGACGTAACATAGGTATAGAAAACAATACAAATACAAGTAAGTACAGACATCAATTGAAAGCTCGGCATATTGTAGGCCTAGGCCTACCTTTTGTCGAGATTGGCCACAATTAATTGCTAACCTTTAACTTACTTGTTATCTAAGTGCCAGGGACACTTTGTTGTTAGTTGTTGGGTTCTCCTTTCTTATTAGCCTATTCCTATTGCAAATTACCTACACTTACCGTACATAAATTCTTTCATAGAGTTTTGGCAAGATCAAAAAACGCTAAAATGTTATTTAAACTTACTTGGCAAGCTTTCAAAATATGCCTAGATCTTCTGATGGCAAGATCAAGTCTTAGTAACCTCAAATTGGACAACACATATGTAACGAGAACACGGTTTTTATCAGTTTTATTAGAATAGGCGTAGATAACTTATATCAAACTGATTAAGACGATTATTTTAAAACCCTAAGTAGGCCTAGACCTATAAGTTATAGCCCTAGCTTGAAAACTATTTGTAGGCCCTAAGCTAAAGATTCAGAATGTATTATTTTCAACCACTTTTGCTGGGCTAGGTTAAGTGCCTTCTATGATAGTAATTGTTGCAATTTTAATCTTTTAGATAAAAATCGTCTACCAGTTTTGAAATAACTGAACATTATGAAAGTAAGCACAGAGCCTGTATCAGCGTTTGCAATATATTCAGAAAAGCTAAAGCAAAAGAAGAAGAAGTCTAAAACTCTGTTATCAAATGGTGTAAATAAGGTGACCAAAGCCAAAGTAGGTCTATCAAATGGAGTAGCTAAAGTTAAAAAATCTCAAGTTTCAACCTTACTTAAGAAACAAAAAAATAGCAATGATAACGAGTCATGGCAAATGAAAGAAATAGGTTATATACTTAAAACTTTGGCTGAAAGATCAACAGAAACTAGTAGTCCTAGAGCTGCAGCTTTGTTGGATAGTATTAATGAAGCAAATGAAAAATTGGAATATGACGACAACAATTATCTTGAAGACACATTACATAATGTTATTATGATCGAGAACCTTAAAGATACGGTCAAAAACTTGAAAAGGAAGAAAACTAATAAGTTTACGCCAGGAAAGTCAGCTGACAGTTGCAGTACTAATGGTCCGGGAACTTCCAAAGATACAGATTCACTAGAGGACTTAAAACCCCTTGTATTAAAAACCACCACTTCCCCAACTAATAAGGAAGAATCAAGTGCAAGCCGTTCTAAGAGTTTGAAAAAGTTAAAAACAGCAACAAAAGAACAAGGTCATTCTACTATGACGCTAGATTCAAAATCACAGAATTTAGACCCAAAGAAAAAGCAGCCAAAAGTACCCAAAGAGACAAAACTGAATAAGAAAAATATTAAAAAGGTTGGAATGAAATCAGATAATAATTCAAAAGGTAAATCTCAGAAACATTTGGAAAATAGTGACACAACTGCAAGACTACTTTTCGAGTGGCTTACTGCACCTGTGCTGGAGAAAGATTTCATGCGGTATGTAATATTCTACTTTAATTTATTGTAATAGGCTATACTTAGAGATCTTTACCACAGTTCTAATAGCCTAGGCTAAATCATAATCTTAAACAAGTTTATTTTTTTATTTTTAGTAGGCCTACCTATGTCTTGTGCTGGTTAAATATGTTTAAGTCCCTATATAGAGTTCTTTAAAGGACACATTTTAAACCAACTTTACTTAGTACAATAATAGCATGACATATTCTGTGCTGGTCAGACCAACTTAACAAGACCACCGTGCACGCCGATTAAGTTTGGATGCATTGCACATTAACTTACTATTAATAGGTACTTTGGGTCACTGTAAGCTTAGCCATTGGCAAGGGTTATTAGTCATTACTGTGAGGACCACCAGTCAAACCACTGTCAGGACTGTCTTTTTCACGTTTGTACTGGCATGAGTTTAGTACATGTTTACTTCAGGAGATGCCATAGGAGACCACAGGTACTTTATTATTCATCATTGAACGTGTTAAACAGTGAATGCTGAATTTCCCAAAATAGTGAAAATGCAGATGCTAGCCAACCCATATAGGGTAGGCCTTAATTTAGCTTTGTTGCAAATTTACTTTTGGCTTGCTTAATTGCTTCTGTTATGTTTTCAGTGACTATTGGGAGAAAAAACCACTTCTTATACAAAGAGAGGGGCACAGGCACTACTTCTCTGAGTTGTTGAGTACTGAAATAATAGATACGATGTTGAGAGAGAACAATGTATGTTTCACCAAACACTTGGACGTTACTTCATACACCGATGGTGTACGAGAGACCCATAACCTAACAGGTAAAAGTAAAAGTACACAGAGTGAAATAACTGTAAAGAGGAGTCGTTTAAAGAAAATAGCTTTACAAAGAAATCCTTTTTAGTACGAACAAACCATTGAAGGTAAAATTTCAAACTTGATATAAGTTAATTTTTAATTGGCCAATAATACACTATTTTTATAAACATGAACTTTAACCACAGATTTTCTTGATACTTAGTTGCAATGTAATCATTTTAAGTTTTTACTGATGTTTAATACTGGAATGTATGTTTCAGGCAGAGCACAGGCAAATGTTGTTTGGGACTTTTACTCTAATGGATGCAGTGTCAGGCTTTTAAACCCACAAATTTTTCTGCCAAAAATCCACACCTTGAACGCAACACTTCAGGAGTATTTTGGCTGCTTTGTTGGTGCTAATGTGTATCTGACCCCACCTAACTCTCAGGGGTTCGCTCCCCACTATGACGACATCGAAGCTTTCGTCCTGCAGATAGAGGGAAAGAAGCGTTGGAAAATTTACACTCCCAGGTTAGTTGACGGCGTTAATTTTACTATATTGTGCACTAGCTCTAAGTTAGGTTAAGATTTGAACATCTATTGATATAAGATATTATGGTAGGCCTATAGGTTACAATAAAATAATTGTAACCTAAGCCTAGTTAATTTTCTTGATCGAATTTCTACTTCTGATTTTTATCTCAGCAGAACAGGTTTTGGTACCCTATATTTCACGAGGTTAGATTAAATGCTCATAAATTAAATATATTTTTAAAATATTGAAGAAGTACTACACATGGACTGCATGGTTTTAGTTATAAACTGTTTAAATCGTAGAGTTTTTGATTCTACATTATGATCAATATTATGTTACAACAGTATGTAGGCCTATCAATATTATGTACACATAAAAATTTTTTTAGGTACCGTACATCTATTTTAAATTGACAAATCAAAGTCAGTTAGCAGCATTCAAAATTCTCTTTGGCTTAAAACAAAGTTTTTCTAAAATATCTTTAAGTTAACATTAAAATAGACCTAAGGGCTTAGCTCATCAGTGAATTTTAATCTAATCTATTTATCTGATCTCTTAGTCTGTAAAATATTTCTGAATGATTGGATACGTTTAGGAGATAGTTGTTTAGTTATTAGGGAATTTATAAAAGACTTACGGTACCTGGATTGTTACAGCAGATATGGTTGTACAAAGTAGGGCAGTTGAAGTGATAAATGCCATTATCTAAAAAATATGTACAATAATAACTCATAAAATTATACAGAACATACACACTCTGACAGTTATGGCTGAGATAGAGTTTTGATTCTGTCTTATCTCTTCTGATATAACTCCAATCTCAATACTATGAATAGTTGAGATTTTTGCTCTTTGTATTGCAACAATGTCTTGTGTTCAAAATTGTAGAGGTTTGATGAATTGACGAAGGATGTTTTACCAAATTTAGGCTACCTCATGAATATTGTTGCTGAAGGTAGAATGCCTATAAAGAATGCTTAGTAAGACTTTTAATATTTTTTTCACTAATATTTAACTTTACCATTTACCTTACTATAAAAAATTTTAAAACTTGTCAACTGCAGCCACTGAATCAAAATTAGATGGTTTAGGAAAAAATATTGTTCGGTACTATGTTTTTCAAAATTTTATAGAACAAGATATTATGCAACACTTATACTCGTCCATGTTCTACCACCTCCTGGTACTGAGTGCGTTGAACAACGCTTTTAGCAAATTTCCCTTCTGGGGAATAAGCCACCTATATTATAAGGCTCATCTCAGAATTTACAGAGATTGTGGAAGCAATGATGGTTTTTTCCAAGAATGTGGGATCTGTCTAGGATTTTTCCTATATAATTTTTCCGTCACGTTCAATATCCAGGGAGGTTGACGATAAATGTTTCCGTGATCGCGGAATAACAATGATGATATTTCTGTGATAAAAGGGGATAACTTAGATAATATTTTTCCCACCAGTGTTTAGCTCAGTGATGATCTCACGATCATGGCAAATAGTCATGATATTACCGCAATAACATTAACACCGATAGGCAATATCACGGCAGAATTAAGCGAGGAGTCGAACTAGCTGGAGCCAGACTGACTAGCCGAGGTCGGATTAACGGGGTTCTACTATATTACTTCCAGGAGAAAAACAATTTTTTAATATATTGAAGCATTTTAATCTTAATAGCCGTCGAGAAAATGATTAAAAATTCATTTAAAATTGTCATGTTATTCTAATGAAGTCTAAGTAAACTGAAAAATTTGTATTTTTCATGTTTAAATATTAAATTTTGATCTACTTCATACTAAGCTTATAACATTTAATTAACAAACACACTTTATTAACTTATTTGTTGTACAGCTAACATAAGTACACTTTAAGTTTAAACCTATTACCTTAAATTCCTGGTACATCCACAAAACTTTAATGGGTTTGGAGTTTGAACTGCTTTCTCTTAAATGCGTTTAAAGTTACAGGATTTATTTAAAATGCCACTGGCGTTAAAAAAACAAAAGTAATTTTAAAAAGGAAATAAATTGACACGTTATAGAGAATAATATTGTAGAAACCAATTGAAATTTGCTTAGCTGCAGGTTTTCATCGGCAGGGGTATTGTTATAATCAATAGTTTGTTTACAAATAAGTGGGTGGGTAAGGGGTTTCTACCGTGGATCTAAAGAACTACTTAGCCCTATTATGTGTTCATATCCCATTGAGATCATGAGTCCAAATCATTTTCCTCTCCAGGAATGAAGCTGAAGTACTGCCAAGATTCTCCAGTCCTAACTTTACCCAGGAGGAAGTTGGAGATTCATTCTTGGACGTGACTCTTGAGCCTGGGGATCTGCTGTACTTCCCCCGAGGATTCATCCACCAAGCCTCTACACCAGTGGAAGGACACCACTCGCTACACATAACACTGTCAGCTTACCAGAAGACTGCCTGGGTCGACTTACTGGAGAAGGTATGACAGAAATTTAAATTAGAAAGCAAATAGAATTTATATAACACATATTTTAGATACAAGTTCACGACAATCGAAAGAACACTGGTTTTATCAAGATATTTTCAACAGTTTTTCAGTGTTTTAACCCTTTCAGTGCTAGGCCAATAATTTGTATTTCGTAAGACTTTTTTGTTTGCCTTTCAATTCCCTTACCTATTGTTGAATTTTAACTTTAATGTTGCCACTATTTTATTAATTAGGCTAATTTTGAGTTATAACTAATAAGAAAATAGGATTATATATAACAAAGATAAATCCCAGTATTTGTTGTAAACATTAAATAAAACTTAGTTTTTGTTGTAATTTTCCTGGTTTTCCTATAAATTTTTATGTTCTGATAGCATTGTTTGAAACCAAAATCTCATAAAATCAAAAGACATATAATTTACAATGTAATATTGAATTTAACTTTGATTTAGTTGGACGTGGTTATCGTAATATAGCCATATTAGGGAAATTGATGTTTTGCAGCAAAGTCTCAGGAACACATTTATGATCACTGTTGTGTTTCAACTAAAAAATATCATCTAAATAGTCCGTGACTAACTAGTGCTGCTAACTAGTAACACATTAAACAACCATCTGTAGCGCTCTCTGTTCCCAATCGGTGGCGTCAGCTTGAATACCTGTTTTTGACTCCTCAGTCTTCAAGCACAGATAGCCGAGAAGGCTAGGGCGTGTGTCACTTGGCCAGTGGCATTCGTCTGCTCAGGTTCGATTCCCGTCCTGTGTGGCAAAGAATTGGTGACCTGTGTGTTTGTAGCGATATACTACAACCACTGGGGCATAGTGAGGTGTTCATAATCCTTGGTTTAGACATAGGCCTACGCCTCGAAATCATCGGATTGGGCGAATCTTTTAGCTAAGTGGTTGTTAGTGTATCCTATGAACATGCAGGTCACCAATGGCCGTTTTGCTACTTTTTGTTAAAATAACCTTCCTCTGTATATCCCTTAGAGATTTTTTAAAACAACGATATATCGTTTCATAGCACTGAAAGGGTTAAACAGAAATTTTATTTTCTATTAGAAGTTGTATATGTTTAGGCGCCAGCTGTTTTAAATCCACTACACCAGAGTAGATCAGATGTTGAGACATTTGTTCACACAATACCTGTGGACTAAACATTTTGCTGCCAACTGGTGCAGGAATTTGGTTGTTAAAATTAAACTTGAGAGTTTATGTAAACTTTATAACTTATTTTGTAAAGTTGTTTTTTCACTGGAGCTCAAAACACCAATTATATTAAACAAATGTTTACAACAGATATATGCTGTTTTCCACAAGAAATTGGTAAATATAATATGCCCTAGCGTAGTAAACACATGTTTACATAACTTGAATTGAGCTGTGTTTACATTGGAGTTTTCATAAAAAAAGAAGAATAAATATGTACATCTTGTTGTAAACTACAGTGTAAACATGGTTTAAGACAAACATGGTTTAAGTGCCATTCATAATGCCAAATCAAATAGTTATTTGAAACCATTTCCTTTTTTTTTTAATTTCATTCATAAATCATTATTAGCAATATTACATCAATATTGTACCCCTTGTACCAGACCAAATAGGTTACAAATAGGTTTCTTGGGTTATCCTGTTTGATTGGCTGTTCAGATGTCCAATTTTTATGGGAGGTTAAAATTGATTGGTATCCATGGCAACAAAAGAAAAAGCTACGATGTTTACATTTTCTTTGTGTACGTTTCTCACTTCCGATGAATTTTCCACTTCCAGACAGCTGAATCAAAATAAAAAAATGTGTTAAAATTAGCAATTTTATTCATCTTCTGGACATACCACTGATTACAGGTTTTTCGTAACTTCAAAGAACTTATATTTTCAAGGGAAAGGTCAGTGATACGAACCACAACAAACATATCCGATGCTAACATTCATTGCCAGATGACTGAATTTCATGACCCAAATGCAGTGATAGCGAGTGCAGAAATAGGTTAGGAAATTTTAATTTGGCCGTGAAAATGTTTATTTCTGGAAGGAATTGTGTTTTTGGAATGTACCCAGACTTCTCAAAAATGACCACAAAGGAAAAAAAGATTTCATGGCCATTTGTACACTCCATAACCTATTTCTGCACTTCACCCTCACTCATTGCATTAGGGCCATATCCTTCAGTCATCTGGCGATGAATATCGGCATCGGATATGTTTCTTCTTCTTGTAATCAAAAAACATTTCACTGACCTTCTATAGTTGGATTCTATAGTTTCACTTGAGGTTCTATAGTTTAACAAGCAGCAAATCTTAGCCTATATGTCAGCTACAGAGCTGCAAATTGCCATTCAGTTGACAAGATGCCAATAAGTGGCGAGGATCCACGTTGGTGCTTACAAACGAACAGATTTATTGGTAAAACGGCCCTTACTTAAAAACCATCCTTGTAATTGGAGTATGATCAACCAACTGAGCTATAAATTAATTTGTGGAAAAACATTTGTTTTAATCTAATGTACATTTAATTCAATTTATCCTCCATAGGCTTTGCCATTGGCCCTCAAGAAGGCGGCTGAGAATGATGTAGAGTTCCGACGAGGGCTGCCACGGGACTACCTCGGTCTGGAGCACCATGGTAGTGTCCGGGAGAAGCAGACGTTTGTATCTACGGCTCACTCACTGATGGAGAAGCTCAGTCACTACCTGCAGCTCAGTTTGGGTGCTGGGGTGGATCTGATGGGAGCTCAGTTTATGCACGACGCACTTCCTCCTGTATTTACTCCGGGTGAGGTTTAACAGCCTACTATTATTATTGGTTTGTTTGGAGTTTTGGTTGTTTTGGAGTGAATAGTCTTTTAATTCAGGAGTCTCACACTCTTAGTCAGGCTTAGTTGCAAACCACCATATTGGGGCTCCTTACTACTAAAAAGTTTTCAGCCCCCCAATCACCATATTGATTCTTATGCTCATGGGGGGATGATAAATTAAATTGTAACCCCCTCAACATCCGCCATCATCTCTTATGATTGTGGTGAATATCTGATTTTTCCATCACAGCGACTCTCATGAGTAGGGCAACATCTTGATCATGTTCAGCGATTGCGATATTTTACTTCACACACCAACACAAAAATAGGAAGAACAACAATTATTAGTGATTATTCTAAAAAGGGCCGGCTCGGCAGTCACACTACAGGCAGGTCTCCTGTGCGCGTAAAATTTTATTCCTTCCTCTGCCTTAAAAAATAAAAAAAAAATTAACACAGAAATCAGAAATGATTTTCCTCTCCTAAGGCCCCATTTTAAAAAAATG